GTTCGGTAGCTATTATAACTTTCTCGGTCGATTTGTAGACTCCTCTTAAAAGTAAAAAAAAAAAAAACTTATTCAGAGGACATCAGCCAGAGGGGCCGAGTTACAAGCTTTGGCTATAAATAATTGACACTGTCATTAACACCCAATGCGGTCGTTAAGATCAGCAAACGAGAAGATTTAGCTTTTTCTTTTTATTTATATAGAGACTTGTTTTTTTTCGTTCATCATCACCTCGAACCCACATTTTTGTGGTATACTCTGACAATGTGACTCAAGTGGAAAGAAGTATCACATAAGAGTGTGAACTATTTTTTATTTTATTTTTATATCTGCTAGTTTATTTTCAATGCTATACCTATGCAAGCGCTCCTGGGGAGAGCGCGACACAATTATAATTGCAAGGCAAAACTGACCGGGTTCTTTTGGAGAAAGCGCCATCGTGTATTCTTACATGTCCGTTCATTCTTCTTAACACGGGAGTAATGTATTATCCTTGCAGATTCTCTGTAAGCTGGTTGACATTTTTTGGGGTCATTATTCGTGGATTTTTTTTTTTTTTTTTTTTTAACGTTCACGAACGAGAGGGGAAATAAATGTTTTCATTATATTAAGCGTAATAATTATTTTTTCGAAAAGTATAATTGCAAGCTCATCTCGAAAGTAAAAAATAGTCGCTCGGGGAAGAATTGAGCAATTCATTTTGAGCACAATGAAGATTTTTTGTACCCGAGTTGAATGTAAAATACTTTCTCTCCCAGCATGTATTATAAATTCGCGAAAAAACAAAATTCGCAACCACGTGGGTAATTACCAAAGTCGCGAAATAACTTGCCGAATTGAGTAATCGAGCGATATGTAGTGAAAATTGGCTGATAGTTTCTTTTGGAAAAGTATTCAGGTCATATATATCTGAAATTCTGAACCTGCAACGAGTGTTTGCATTACCTTTTGTTCGACGTTTATACGGGCTAAAATGTGTTACACAATTTCACAGTGCGCCGGAAATTATTCGCCAAAACAAATTTCATCATACATTCAATAGATTCTTACTTTGTACCAAAAATAGGTTCTTGGAATGAAAAAAAAAAAAAAAAAAAAGAAAGAAAGAAAAAACATGATTTTTCAATTTGATTTTACATCACTTTTACTTTGAGAAAGAAAAACAATAAAGAATTATTCAACAACGACCGCCGCACCGCTCGTGAAACAGCACTCTCAAAAGAAATCAAGCGAGCATCCCATTACAAACTCGAAATTTGAACGGCAATGTGGGTCGCAATTTTTTTTTACGGCCCGCGTTCTCTCGAAGGCCGAAGTCATTTCTCGAATTTAAGGCAGTTCCGTTTTCGCTTTCGATCGGGTCCTCCGAGTGCATAATAAAGCTCGCGTTTTTATTGCACGCCCGAACCGAATTTTCCTCCACCAACTCGCGCCTCTCGTCTTACTCACAAATTTTTTTGCTTTCTCACGTTTTTTTTTTCGAAAGCGACGCCGAACTAACTATCCCGACGCAAATGTATTCAACAGATGGAAAATCAATACGCCTCTCTCAGGATGCAATAGTTTCATAACAAGCATAGAAAACCAAGTGTGTGGCGTTAAAGGGTTACAAAATACACGTTGTACCTATCACACGTTTCGTAAAACAAGCGTCACTCCTCCCCGTTGTTACTGTGGACGAAATGGTAAAAAATGGCACGCACACCGGGTCTATAAATTTGAGAAAAAACGCGCATCGGGCTAAAACAAACAATATTATATTCTTGTCACGTCACTTATACTTAAAGTTGCACCGTGGCACGACTGTACAATATATATTATTGTCGCAACACGCGCACTCATGTACACACAAGTTTGGATTTTTTTTTTTTCCATTCCATCGATAAAAATGCAGGTTCGTCAACTCTGTGAAAATTGCACAAGCTGCATAGGGTTTACGTAGTTAACCCACGTGCTCATTGCCAGAGGGTCTGTTTGCACTTGGAGGGAAGGAACGTGGGGGGAAAGAAAAAAAAAGTAGATCTTATACCTTGAGATTACCTCGGCAGGGGGATAATTGTTGTAACCACGTGGTCGACCTTATCCGGCGTATACATTTGTAATTTTACCAATGATAAAAAATGGCAGTAACCTCCTCGAAGCGTAATAATGATGTACGGTCGATCGGAAAATGATTGCGCGGATTTCCGGCCAGAGGCCAAAGGACCGCGGCAAACGTGTACATAAATTCACGGGCTGTGGGAAAGAAGGCACACCGGGAAGCCCCGCTCTCTCGGTCGAGCGCCCGGAAGGACTTTACGATGGTTGCATCTATACAAGGATACACACTCCTTTCACCCGATACAGATGCGCGGCACTTCGGCCGATAGCGTGGCTTTTCAAAGTTCACGCCGCGAGGAAAATTCCTCTTTTGTCTTTGGCACAGCTAATGATGAACAAAAGCCTTCGCTTATATATAGGTAAATATCGTGGAGGATGGGAACAAAAAATTAATACACGTGTACTCGATGAGTCGTGAGCGTCGTCGGTTTACGTCACTCGCGGCAGCACATCTAAAAATAAAATTAAAAAAAAAAAAAATCGCGGCGAATGATTGGCACGAATAATCAACGCATCGGAGGCAAGAATATAATAATAATGTACACGCGCGGACCCTCGACCTACGGTATACACGCAGAGTCCACGCAGAGATAGACTTTCACTTCTCCCGTGTAATAGGTATCGAGCTTGTACTTTTTTTTTTTCTTTCCTAACAGATAGAATTTAAGAAGGAGCAATTATTTCGACCAGGACGACCCGTATGATCGTAAATCACTGGAGTGCCTTGGCTGTATCGAGGTCCTTTTTTTTGAACGTTTGCCATTTCAAAGCACTTTTTTTCTGTACATGGGTGTTATTATGTTGGTACGTAGGTATAAATGAAATTTCGGGTTTTGACAAAATTCACTGCAGTAGTGCTGATGAACCTTTTGAGGAAAACCAAATTGACTCTTCGTAAGCTGTTTTGCTTGCTTCATTGAACTAAACAATTTTTTTTACTTTTTCCGTTAAAAAGTACCCAGTTTAGTAGAACTACAGGTATGAGTACTTGGTGCACCACAAATTTCGTTGTTCTTTGTTTATCATCAACGCAACAGCAATGCATTTTATAAATGAAAAAAATAAAATAAAAAAAATACACGTGTACTTTACGTACGCTTCACTTGGATTTACAGTGTATAAATTGATGCTTCCCAAAGTTGGGCGAAAGACGGAATTTTGATTTGAATCGTTAAAAGGTTAGGAACTTAACGGTACACCACACCATATCTTTTACGACCCGGAGCTCCGATTCCTATCGTTCAACTTGACCGATGGCTCTCAAAGTTATTGTTTTAAATACTCTCGTAAATACTATACCCTTACTTTGGTAATTTCGGAAAAATCAGTCGTAAACATAAATTTTGATCCAAGTTTTTCAAATTGTATCCCAATACGTAATATACACTTGCACAAATTTAATGTTATCGTTCAACCTCGTTCCAAAATACGGTGAAACGACGATTTAGATTCGGTTCGATTGCCATTGGTGTACATTCAAGTTTTACGTTTGCGGATAAGCAAGCAAAAGTATTTACAATACATGTAATAATAACATCGCAATCGTATGGACATTATATTGTACTATGCTCCTATGTACCGCGGATTATGCCCACAGTCGCAGTTTTCTGCGTAGTACCTAGGTATGTACACTTACGCACAAAAGTCGGCTTATAAAGCTGATGCAGCCGCACAGTCTTGCGTCACTTTCTGTGTGCATGCGAAATCGCTTATAGATATACATACATCAAAAACCATAAGCGACGGCGCGTCTTTTGCGTAATTCCCCAGAAAGTGCGTTCGTCGTGTGCAAGTCGTATGCTAATTATAATAACAACAATTGTTATTTATTTATTTGAACACGATAACATTTTAATCGATGAACCATACGGGAGGAAAGAGCGTATTGTATAATGATAGATGCAGGGAGAGGAAAAGAAAAAGGGAATTGTGACGACCGAGACGATGAAATTAACGATAAATGGGGTGGAGAAAAAGAAAAAAAAAGAGGGTAACGGGTTAGCGCGTGTGTATAATAAATAATACGTGTGCACGATGTATAAAGGTGTATCATAATATTTATTGGAAATTTAATGCCTCGCGACGCGAGATTTCGCCTTTAATTGGGCGGTTTTAATTTCCACGGGCGTAATAATGTAACACATACTTTTGCGGTGACACGTATACCTGCAGTGCATTTATATGTACGCGCGCGGCATTGACGTCGTATATATTATATACACGGTGACATTGGGCAGGGGCGGGGGGATACGTTACGTAATTTAATCGGTGCGCGAGCTGAATAATCAAAAAGGTGGATTTTATGGGCGATTCAATTTATATTACGCATTATTTTATGCCTACGAACTTGGGCCCTGAGAGAGTGGATGTTGCGAGGATTCCCGGGGAAGATAAATGTTGAACCGTGCAAATGACGTATGGAGGGTCGAGTAAGTAGAGCGAAACTTTTTTTCTTTCCTTTTTTTTTTTTTTTTTTTTTTTTTTTTTTTTTTTTTTTTTNGGGGAAAAAAAAAAAAAAAAAAAAAAAAAAAAAAAAGAGAAAGTAAAAACAGATACAAGGAGGTTGAACCGAGTCTCTAGGTCTAGGGCACTCGGGGATCTGTACCAAAAATACGCGCGCAAACTTCATCGTCGACGGAGTAAAAGAAAAGGAGCAGGAGGAGGAGGAGAGCTTTTACTCTCACCGTATTATACGGTGGTGGTGATGATGATACTGGTGCAGCGACTCTGCTTGCTCCCTCCACCTCCTCCTCCTGCCCACCACCTTCCTTTGGTCCCCACTGGACGCCGGTGAGCGTCTTTCTCTCTCTTTCTCCGTATGTCCCTCATGGGGTATAAAATAACCGGGTGCACCTTCCACGGAGTCACAGAGCAGAGTGGCAAGCGCACCTGCAACTAGCATGAACACTCTGATCGCGGTAAGCGTTTTTTTTTTCATTTTCTTTCTCTACTCACTTCCCCGTTAACTCGATCCTCCTCTCTCTCTCTCTCTCTTTTTTTTTATTTAATCTTTTAGTTGTTTATTTTTCATTTGGTCAAACAATCCTTCAACATTTAACGATTGGCGAAACGGGCGGACTTTGAACCAACTCGTACACGCACATTTTCAAGTGACGACGGATGGACGTAGTGACGCGACTAAACTACAAATTTTAAACTTGGAAAAAAAAACCACTCGACATTAATTCGAAAAGTGCGTGTGTATCGCGAGCGCGTACAATACCCATCGGGAGACTTTCTCTTTCGATAGAGAAAAAAAAAAAAAAAAAAAGAGGAGCTATCGTATCCGATCGCTTCCTCATTAGCGCCCGAGTGAAAATCAAATTCATTTCCATCGAGCACCTTTGTACAGGTGCAGACTATTGTTTTTCCCCCGTTCATTTCCAAACATTCAATATGTATCCACTAATTATATTTCCCAATGACCCCGTTGTCACGTTGTACAAGAAACGATGGTAAACACGATAAAATCCTGCTTGCAGTGTGTGGTCGTCGGAATGGCAGGGCTAGCCCTGGCCGAGCCGCCCTCCGGCTACGCGTACCAAAGGCCGGGCGGCGGAGGTGGAGGCTTCGGCGGCGGTGGCGGCTACTCCGGGGGCGGTGGCGGTGGCTACTCTGCAGGCGGCGGAGGCTTCGGTGGGGGAGGAGGAGGAGGAGGCGGCTACACCCAGGTCTCCTCGGGCGGCTACCAGAGCAGCGAAGGCGCCAACGTCGACCCCGCCCTCCTCGAGCAACTCAAGTCCATCATCATCAAGGAGGAAGCATCCAGCGGCGGCGGTGGCGGTGGCGGAGGTGGCGGAGGTGGCTACCCCTCGGGTGGGCCCAGTTCGAGCTACGGGGCGCCTCCCAGCTCGGGATACGGGGCACCCTCGCCGGGCTCGAGCTACGGAGCCCCACCCAGCACGAGCTACGGAGCCCCAGGACTCGGTGGCGGCCGCGTCGTCGGGATCGACTTTGAGGGGATTCGCCAGGGCATCGAGGTCGCCCAGTTGCACCAGGTCAGTCAGGGGAGCGGCGGTGGCTACCCGAGCGGACCCAGCGGCGGTGGCTACCCGAGCGGACCCAGCGGCGGTGGGTACCCCAGCGGGCCCAGCGGCGGTGGGTACCCGAGCGGCAGACCCAGCGGGAGCTACGGCGCCCCATTCTAAGATCCATCAGCCCGACGATCGGAGAGGAGTGCGACTCCCTGGCGGGAACTCGGACGATGTAACCCCCCCGGGTTCCCACCAGGGACTGTGGGAGTGCCTTACACACATGTATACTCCCGGTTGGAGCTGCCACGCGTGATACAAGATTTTGTCCTTGTTCGCTTCCACCCGGTCGGAAGGTCGGTGCAAAATTAAACGAAGATGAGCCATCAAAAAGTTCAGCGGAGAGTATTGGGACAATCGTGAGCGGAGGAGGAACGTCTCGTTTGAGCCCCTGGACAACACCCAAGGGGGCTCGGGAGCAAACGCAATGGAGGAAGAAAGGGGAGGATCATCGTCCCTCGATTACTCTCGGTAGATCTAGTTATTATGTATAATACAGTCGCGGAAGGTCGTCACGGCGAGAATTCACATGCATATAAAGGCGGGCGTGGGCGAGCCTACGATGTGTGAACTATTACGCGCGTCGACGGCGCTACAACGAAACCAATGAAACGTAGGGGAAAAAAAAAAAAAAGAGGAGAGACCAGTTGGGAATGTTCTATGATAATGACCATTACATTGCACGAGGAAGGAAAAGTAGAAGAAATAACGCAAAAAAAAGGATAGAGCAAGCTCTCGGAGAAATAGGGGGGGGGGGTTAAACCACAATTATCATGATCTATTTTTATTAATATGATATCAATAATATTGTATACGTGACGAAGTATACGCGCTCGGGCGCATTGTAAATATATATTTACACGAAGATGATGTTTTTACATTTCACATAATCACATGAAACACACATGTTATTGTACAGACGCGCAGGAAATACAACACAATAGTTATATTGTACAAAAGGGATTACATTGTCATCGGGAGTCAAAGGCCGTCTGTTTAAGAAACACCACAGCTATTTCTTTTTTTTCATTTTTTTTTTTTTATCCTCAAACTCTCTCTCTCTCTCTCTCTCTCTCTCTCTCTGTATAATGCAAGAATATTATTGTTTTTTTTTTTTTTATATAATTCTTGTTTTAATATGTCCTTAACCACGCATTTTTTGTACTTGTATAAAGGCTTTTTTTGTAGGAAAATAATAATAAAAAAAAAAGAAAAAAAAATATGTCGCCACCGTAACATGCCGTCGTTTTTTTTTGTATTATTTCACCCTTGCAAACCCAACGCTACCCCAGCGATAATAAAAACAAAGAAAAGAAAGGCTGAGAAAAAGAAGCAGCACTGCGTCTTCCTCTTCCGGTCGAGGTTTCTCTCGATAAAACACACGCATCACGCGTGTAACCTTTCCCTATTAAGTATCCGCTTTCTCCGCAAAGACATTTTTATATACTTATGTGTACCTACTCTGCACTTGTACGTCACACGCATCCTCTCTGTCTAAAAAAGTCGCGCAATGCCCCCCCCCCTCTTGCTCATCCAACCATTAGAGATGACCCCGCATCAACCAACTGACCCCTTACACCTCGTGTGCATTCAAGTACGAATCCTTTCGTTTTCTCCCAGAAGAGAAAAAAATTCACACTCCGATGCCTCTCCATCATCATCATGATCGCAGCGCGTCCTTTGAGGAGGGAGGCTCAATTTTTCCCCCGACGCCGCCTTTCTCTCCTCGCCAATGTCCTTTCACCGCTGCGCCGTCATCCTCTTTCTCTATCCGCGCTCGGGGAGCCCTCCTCCTCGCCGTAGCGTGACGTAAACGCTCCTCCTCAACTTTATTGTGTACATCAGCACGAGATAAGTGAATAAAAGGCTGATGAGGAAAGGAAAAACAAAAATAAGTACGTGTGACACGGGGATGCTCATTCATCGTTTCGTTCCAGCGGCGTGAGTGAAAATAGAAAATATATGGATAAAAGACGAGAGAAAAAGGATCTCGCGGTTTGTGGATCGCAACGAGAGTTGAGTAACAAATGACGCTCGCAAAGTCGCGAGGCATAATATTTGATGCACGAGTTGAATCATCATTAAGTACATGGTGGTCTTTTCGCCTCTTACCGGTACATTACGTACACATACGTGACTCGACGTTCCTTTTTCTCCAATTACGATGAATATTAGGTTTTTTCTCGTCTTACACAAATACACATGTATCATGGTATACCTACTTTGCTTTTCTTTAATGATGGTGAATTTTAGTACGAAAGTACGGGGGGCTGCACTTTTACCTATTTTTCAATGATGGACATGTTACCTGATTTGACGTAATTTCTTTGAACATTTTTAAATTACATGCATTAGCGATATCCGTTGCTTGCTCCGCTTTTTTATGTTAAAGACGGTAAATGATAGTGTGAAGAATGAAAACTCCAAATTAATAAAAACGCCAATCTTTGAAAAATCAAAATGCACGTCAATCGGTGCAGGTGTAGGTGCGATTTCAAGTTTACCCACCCAAAAATAAATCATATTGCGGACACAAACGCAACCAAACAACCTGAGACTGTCTCTAGCGACATGAAAGAGTGGAGCAGCCTGATAGCATCATCGGCGCCTCGTCCGCAGAGGCGCGGGGAAAGTCGGGAGATCACGTCCTCCGAGAGCGTGGGATTTGATAGCTGGATCCCTCGGCTGCAGCACAGAGAGAGAGAGGATGATAGATATTTTGCAAGCCACGGCAGACACGAGTGTAATCCAGAAACTGACGCACCGTGGTCGTGCGACCAAGAGATGAACAAAAGTTTTTTTTTAAGTTTTAAAAGAATTCGAGCGAATCTTAATTGCGAAAGCCTCGGTACTCGTTGTTTCTGCTGCAGCGGTGCACGTGAAAGAGGATCTCGATCGATGCGAGTCGATTTATTTGGGCTCGTTTGTTTTTCAGACATCGACGCGTCTGTAATGAGCCGCTTCTTAATGATTGCTGACGGACGGGACGTGCGTTGGGTAATTTTTGGCGTTTTAATTGGCATACTTACTTGGCGTTAAGAAATATTGAAGGGGGGAAAAAACCAACCTTTTTGCATTGAAGTATGGCGAGTGAAATCGTTTATTTTATTTTATTTTATTTTTTTCTTTTTCCTGTTTTTATGTCGTGTATCACACTGTAAAAATAAGTTAACACAATCTGTAGAAAAATTGGTCAGCCGCAACTTTTGTGTCGCTCCCGCTTAGCCAGCCACGTTAGACTCTCATATGTACACCGCTTTGGTATTGCTTGCCACCTCATCCGAAAATTAGTTTTATAAATATCGTTACTATATTGAAAAATATCAGTGGAACTGAAAAAATAAAGATTTTGTTTTTTATTTATCATGCTTTTAAAAGTACCCGTCTGTAACATCACCAGATTTTGATTGAAGACTTACTTCTAACTACTGTGCGTATCGACCTGAGTAAATGCATGAGCTGTGACTTAACTGATGGAGGCTCCCCAAATCCTTGGACATTCTGATTGGCTCCCCAGCCATCTTTAATTGATACATGATATTTTTTCTATTACTTTAATCACTAACTTAATGCTAATACTAAAATGATTGAGGTTTTAAGTTTGTACTTATTTTTTATTTTCAACTGAACTGTGTAAATGATGAGAAACTAGACACTGAACTAGAAGAGAATACAATTGCACCTAATAATGTTAATTCTAAGGAGCGATATGTTAGGTATTTGGATGAAAATGAGGAAATAAATATGACCAGACAGGTAATAACAACAATTTCTTCAAGGCCATTCCCACCACAGAATGTAAACCACTCAAGTAGTTCTCATGCAAACGGGACTGTGAGATTAGTAATGTCAAGGGGTATGAAGCGACTAATGAAGCAATGATAAAAATCACAACAATTAGCTTAACTTACTTGTCAAAAAGTGACAAAACTAAATGTAAATATAACCTACAAACTAAAAATATCTCGCACATACATTGGAAATACAAGCAAATATAAAATTATTTGGTGACAATAGTTTTACTCACATTTTCTCAGAAACCTTTCCTCGTGCAGTATGCAGACGGCATTTAATACTAAAATAGTGGCCTCGTAGAGTGACCAAAGTGTAAAAGCCATGTTTGTCGTTACTGAAATACTATCACTATAGTGTCCAAGTTGCTGTCATCATGACATCATCTATCTGACTCTGAGATGCAGATCGCATACTTAACACAAACTAACCTAACTTACCGGATTCCCGCTCGGCGCCAAATTAATCGGAACTTTGACTCGAATAAGCACTCTTTGCTCGCAAAAGTCATCATGCTGCAATGAAACCCGGATTTTTAATCACGAACAATAAAATCATCACTATCACTATACTGCAAAGAGCAACGATAACTACGTTAAATAAATAATTATAACAACCGACAAACAATCGACTATTATTTTAACTATAAGGTGTGACCGCACGGTTAACCGTACTACAAACGGTCACTCACGTCTCGCGTCCTAGCGTGCAGTATTAAAACATTAAAAGTAATAAAGATACCGTCGATTACTGTGACTGTGTGACGTACCGTTACACACACGCACTCGCGACTCGCGACTCACTTACACGGCTTATTACGACTTACGATACCATGAATTTCAAATTAAAAAGTACGTATACTTAACATAAGTACTCACTGCTTGCGCATATAGGGGCTTCAGTCACTGCAATTAAGATCAGCTAACGCTCCAAAAGCTCTAATTAACTTTTTTGCCTGTTCTTGCGCAGCCAGAGACTTCGGCCATTTTGAAATTCAAGATGGCCGATCATTTGGCGCGCGCGCTCTTGCGGCTTTGAATCGAACGAACTGTAACGTTGAAAAATTCGAATTTTCGAACTGTTATTGTTGCGTCGACGGACGACGCACCGACAGCATCAGAGAGTTATTCGGATTTCGGCTCTCTCTCCCCAACCCCAAAAGAGAGAAAAGGTTTATCATAATATTGAAGGTATTTCAGGTATATTTTGGTATAGGATTCCTTCAAGTGTTGACTTAAGGTGTCCGTCGAGAATCGAAAACGGAAATTTGAAAACGCAAACGGAGTAGAAAGAAAATTCATCCGCTGGACAATTGCGCGCGATTTTGTGTGTGTTTTTACTGTTTACGTTTTGGACGTTTTTGTGTTTTTGCCACCTTCAGCAGTTGCACCGTTGCACGTGTGGAAAACGGAGGGAAAAATCATTAGATCAAGATCAAGGTCGTCGAGGTATTTGAAGCAGTCCTCAAAAAAGTTCGCTCGCCCGCGACGGGGATTGTTTCCGTACACGCAGACCGAATGATGTGGGTTTTTATTTGTTGATATGAAAGCGGCGAGCTTTCATTGTTGACATTCCTAGTCGTACTGCTTCACCAGGTAATCACCTTCTTCATTCTCTCCATATTTGTATGTCTTTGCGCTATTGATTGTTGGATATTGTTTACGTTTGGCGTTTTGCTTGCTATTCGCGATTTTGGCGTCTAACCTCATTTTTAATGATAGATTTTTAACTGTTTTTTACTCGAAATGTTTGTTGCGTCGTTTACTTCTTATTCTGTACTTTGATTGCATCTGCATTTAAGAAGTTGTATATACTTTTCATTTGAAAAATAAAAAAAAAAATTGATTGCACGTAATTTTACTAAATTTTACTAAAATTACATTTTTACGTAGACAAGAAAACATCCTTTCCCTATTTTCTACAAAAATTTCCTTCAACTTTGTTCTTATGAGTAATTTTTTTTTTTTTTCTTCTTTTTTAATTAGTGGGAGCTGCAAAGTAACTACCAGGAATCTTTGCTGAGCAAAGGAAAACAACATTGAAACAGTAAAAACTGGCTATGCATCAGTCGCGATTTATGCCTCATGCTCACACAATGGTTCACCCAATGGGGAATTATCAGCCAAATGGTCAATTTTTTCCCATTCAAAACCAGGGATACTACGCTAATAGTTCCAATGGAGCACATCAGGAGTTCAATCAGTTCAATCGCAATGGTTCCAATTACATTAACAGACAACGTGTGACGCAGGTACTATTTCTATGGATTAGCAATTAATTTCTTGAAGCTTCATGATTCTTTACTAATTAAGCGCGATTATCTCTACAGCAAGGCTCGTATCAGCAAGATCAATCCCCGCGTTACAACAACGGCCACGAGATTCACAGTCCAAATTACAGGCCGTTTAACACAAGACGCGGAGGAGGAGGAAGAGGTGGTGGTGGTGGAGATAGTAAGGGTAATTTGACCCTAAATGATTGGTTACAACGGTTAAACTCCCCCAACAACCAAAATTACCATCAAAACTACCATGGACCCGTAACGACTTCTCTACATCTGAATAGACATCATTCGAACGGTTTTTGTGTGACACCAGTGGCCTCGCGCTGTAATAATTACCGGCCTAACGAAAATGTAAAGAAAAACAAATGGAACAGCAATAACAAACTCGGTAAAAGGCATCAGACTTATCAGGAGCAACAACAGATGGACCAGCAACAACAACAACAGCAGCAGCAGCAGCAGCAGCAGCAGCAGCAGCAGCAGCAGCAGTTGAAGGATAATGCAAGTTGTAGTAACAGCGATAGTGGCTTCAGCTCGCGATCTCCTACGCCGAATAAACATTGCAGAGAAGATAGTCAAACTGAGAGCTTGGATGATCGGGAATCGCTACATTCGTGCACCTCCGAGCCTAAGAATAAACAGTGAGATGACTTGATTTTCACGTTTAGACTGAGTTTTTTTTTAGACAACAATATTTGATACTTAATCTTTTTACAGGAACAAGAATGCCAGGACGAACAATAATCGAGGAAAGTTCGCATCAGGCATGACGACGAGTAATCTGTACCAAAACGAAAACACGGTTCAAAACTACCAGAACAGAAAAAAATATTTCTCAAGTAAGTTTATCCTTCAAACTAATCACTTTTAGGGTTTTGATGAAAAAATATATTTGCAGCAAGAACCAGTCCTAACTTACAAAGACAACGAGGGAAAAAATTCAATGGAACGATGATGCCTGAGATACCAATGCTTCCAAAATTATTTTACACTCCAGCAGATCGTTTTATCGATAGAGCACCACATCTTCTGCAATACGAAAAGCCTACAAATCTGGTGACAGGTTCGCCCTATGATGAATTGTCAAAAGCTGTTTGGGATAAATTTGAGCAGAACCAGCTAAGCTACAGCACTTTTGTTAAAAAGATGATACTGTGGAGGCAACTGCTGTTTTTTATTAAGGTAATCCTTTTATCAAATGGTATTTTATTTCTAATCAGTCAATAATGAGTAACGATTGACTCTATAATCATCAACAGGCCAGATTCCCCTATTACAACTTGTATATGGTCGGTTCTACACTGAATGGTTTCGGAACCGATAGTAGTGATGTAGATATGTGCCTGTTCGTCAGAGATACGGCAATCGATCAAAGAACTGAAGCTATTATTCGCCTTGGTCAAATTATGTCCTGCCTTAGAAAGACTGGTAACGGGTTTAAAAATTTTATGTAGTAAATATTGTTTAAAATCTATCAATAAATGATTACATGTTTTAACTCTAGATTGTATCACTAACTTGGAATTAATACAAGCCAGAGTGCCAATTTTGAAGATACATGACAGTGTCTGTAATTTAGATGTCGATTTAAACTACAACAATGTAGTAGGCGTTCGAAACACTCATCTAATGTATTGCTACTCACGAAGTAATGACTGTCTCACTAAAATCTACTGTAAAAGTGAATTTTTTTTATTTGATTATCAATGACTTTTAGTTGACTGGCGGGTTAGGCCCTTAGTACTGGTGGTAAAAATGTGGGCACAGTGTCAAAATATCAACAATGCCAGGCATATGACGTTATCTAGTTATTCATTAGTGCTCTTGGTGATACATTTTTTGCAATGTGAGTATATTTTATTGATGTTTTTTACCTCAAGTCCAATTTCACACATTTATTTGTATTTGTTTTTTTGTTTTTTTGTTTTTTTTTATGTGAAGGCGGAGTGAATACGCCTGTGCTGCCATGTTTGCACAACCTGTTTAAGGGCAAGTTTGACCCCTTCTCTGACATTCGCAGCATTGACATTCACGAAGAATTAAATATTCCGAGTTATGCATTAGAGCCTCGCAACACTCAAACGCTTGGAGAGCTTCTAATCGAGTTTTTCCGATACTACGATTCGTTTGAGTAAGTACATGAATACCATTTTTTTCAGAATGAAAGAATTCTACCTTATAAATTGTGCTATTTGATTCTAAAACATTTTTTGTTTATGATTAAGTAAACGAAACAAGTAATAAAATTATTTTATCGTCATAACATGACCTACTGAGTGTAAATATAAAGCTTTGTAAATTAAATTTGAACCATCTAACGAAGAATTTATTTTTAGTTTTGATCAATATGCAATATCAGTTCGATTAGCTGCAAAAATACCAATCGAAGCATGTCGGTATTATCGTGCCTTAAAAAATGATCCTCATCAATGGAAATATCTGTGCATAGAAGGTAAGGAGCTTTATTAAATCAATGATTCAACTTTGAGCAGCGTTAGTTAATGCTCCTGTTTTTTTTTCAGAACCCTTTGATTACACCAACACAGCGAGATCTGTTTATGATCCAGCTGCTTTTCAGATGATCAAGGATATTTTCAAACAAACGTATGAGCAACTGAACAAAACTAAAAATCTAAACAGTATTTTTACACATTTGGAAAATAATAACAGCAATAATCCATGATAGCATACCTTCTAATCCTTAAGAGGTCGAGTTTTCATGCTTACGTCAACGATTATTTAAATATCGCAAAAAAGAAACTTAAGGCTTAAAAGTACTAAAACAATATACACTGGAAGTGAAAGGTATTATAATACTGTTCTTTAAAGCTGTCTGTGTATTCTCTTGTTTAAGAATATTTTTGTTATATTTATATTTACACTATTTTTTGATGAATTTTTTGAGGGAAACTATTGTTTGGTTTGAAAAGAGAAAAAGAAAGAAAGAAACAGCAAATCCGAAATGGTTGTATAGTGTCAAAAACGCGTAACGTGTTTAATGTTACACGTATTTATTGTGCAATAAACTAGAAATCGTGGTTTTTGGAAGGTATCCTTATAATATAAAAAGGACGCGTAGGAGAAGTCTTATTGTTGTAGAGCTTCAGAATTGCGTATAATCGTTTATGAGTGAATCGATGATCGTTTCAAAAGTCATGAGTTTCTCGTTCAAATCTTTATTAAAATATTTAAGAACCTGTACAGGTCAATAGTTCATCAAAATATTCATTTTGATCAGGAATGTGTTTTCTAAAAACAGTTTCTGGCTAAACTTGTAAAAATTTTGTTTTGTATTAGCGTATCGATACTTGAGCATAAATAATTAAGAGTTAAAAAAAAAAAAAATTA